TACGTAAGTTTTCATAACCGAGAATCCGTATAGACCGGTCTTGTCTATACACCACAAATAAATTTTATCAGGACGGATCGACTTTGTTATTTAGTAGGGAGATTGTCAGGGTAAATAAGGAAATTAAATGTTGAAGAATAAAGTTAGTGTATTTATGGTAAAATAATTACCGAAACGTACGAGGAAAATTGGTCAGAATAACCTTGACGAAGCAACTTTAATTATCATAATGAAGGTTGTAGCCTTTAAAGTTTCACGGCCATTTCAAACTGGATTTTATGATCCTGCCCTCTTCAAAATTTTCACTTCAATAATCATGCACTTATTTCTGTCTTTGCCAGATTTAAGTATTTTTTACTTTCATTTGATGTTCACTTCCTTTATTTAAAAAAAGCCTTAATCCAGTGGGCAAGGGTGCTTACGAGGAATGAATTATAAAATTTTCTGTTTAAAAATATGTACTGTATTGTTTTATTAACTACGTGAGTAATTTATGAATAAATCAAATATACATGACATTTAAGAGAGTATCTAAATTGTGAAGTTCATAAAGAGTGTGAATTATGAGATCTGTTGATAAACATGAGTTTTAATACCAATATTTCAAAGCCTTGTTTGAAAACAATGCAAGATGTAAAATATGATGCAATAAATATTAAAGTCTAAAAATAAGTTGTGCCTGACTCATATTTGCTTACAGTAACAACTTATCCAAAGATGTGTTGATGCCTCTCAACACGCAGCGAACACATCTCTTCTTTCAGTTTTCCTCCCTACTAGTCTGCAACAGAAAGTACTTTAAGGAAAACACATTCTTAAGACATTCTAATCATACACAGGAATCATACATGACGTATACCTTAAAAATGCCTTACACAATTTTTTATCATTAAACGATAAACTACAAACAAATAGTGAAACTATTATTAACGTTTTATAACTAGTGGTGCTACAAACGTTTATTCTTTCTCGCATTATTTCTAACTGCTTCGCTATATTATACTGTTATGTAAACCTGCAAAAAATATTTGACCAGCTTCTTTTCCGTTCAGCGTTCCGGATTCAGATCTTTAAAGATAAATCGCTGTCCCTCATACCACTACACAACAGAGGTTCCGTATGGCACGAAATAGAACCGACGACGAAAAACGTAAATGCTTGGTTCATATAAAATACCCTCAAAAATCAAAATATATGTTTCAAAGTCCCAAAGCCTCGAGTTCATTCAGATTGATCGGGAATATCAATTTTGGAGAAAATCGGCTGAACCGTTTAGACACTACTTTGACCACAGAGGGATTAATGGATTAACAGACTGATTAATTGATGGGTAAACATTTTGCCGTCAATCAATTTTTCGGCAACAAGGACCCACAAAACATTATTTCTGGCTACGCCACGTGTTAGAGAATTTGTTTCTACATCGAGTAACTGGATTTATCCACATTTTCGCTATTGCGACCCGGCAATAAGATTTTTTCTGCCGAAAATTCTCCGTTTTTCTACGCACGATTATATAACGTTCTCATCTTACGAAGTACCTTAGTTAGGGCTAGAAATAAAGAAGGGCTTCAGATGGTCATTGTGAGGTATTGGTTGTATTTTCAAAAATTATTAGATATTTCAATGTCTTATTAGAAGAGATACATTCAGGCGATTCGTAAGACAGGCCGTTTCCGCCGCATTACAAACAAATATCAACATATCAACAGGGGAAAAAAACTCTGCAATTTCAAATTCATCAATTTGAGCAGAAATGCCTATTATTTGATACACAGTTTTACGAAGACAAATAAAATACATTACAGCATATCTTGACGCACCGATTAAAGTAAGAGAGTTATTTCAATACTAATGATATAAGGAGAAAAAATAGAAAAAGAAAGCGTACTGCGACAAACATGAAGCAACATTTCTGCAGGTTTAAGAACTTTTCGAAGTTTCGACGTTAAACTCTACGCAACCCGCCAAACAGTCAAGGGTTAAGAGCGTCTTCACTGCATCCAAGTTTGCTGCCCCTGCGATTGTGAAATACCAGCCGGAATTATTATTTGAATCTCGGACAATTAAATCAAATTTATCCAAGATAGTGTCGTAGCGATCGCATGCTCATATTTGAGAAAGTACGTTTTAAGATTAGGATACTTGATAATCATGTTCAAATCACGACACAGAAGAAACCCACACTCGTGAGATCGTGTTTTTTCTGTTGGAATTTGTGCACAGAATAAATAAATAAATAAATAAATAAATAAATAAATAAATAAATAAATAAATAAATAAATAAATATAAATAAATAAATAAATAAAAAATAATAAATATAATAAATAAATAAAAAATAAATAAATAAATAAATAAAATAAATAAATAAATAAATAAATAAATAAATAAATAAAATAAATAAATAAATAATAAATAAATAAATAATAAATAATAAATAAATAAATATAATAAATAAATAAATAAATAAATAAATAAATAAATAAATAAATAAATAATAAATAAAATAAATGGGTAAATATAAATTTGACATGAATTTTTCTCGAACACTGAAAGCAGAGGCGTGTGTCTACTCGCAGTGGCCAGCCGCGATTATACTGGCACTAATAAGATAAGCAAATAGTCACACCACCCACCTGCGCCTCCGCGGTCACTCCGCCCTACCGCCAGCAGCACCATCACGTAAGAGCGGCGGTCTCCGAACACCTGCGAACACCACGCACCTACTGCCACCAATCACCCGTTGAGGGCCTCGAGTTGAGGAAGGTGTTGTTTGGAGAGGTTGAGTGATGAGGTCACAATTTCTTTTCTACGTTAAAAGATTTCAAAGCGTTCTACTAAGCACCCTACACAAGGGGTGCTTCTTGTTGTTTATAGTCGTTGTTCGAATTTCGGGCGCATCAACTACTGAAGATTCATGTGTACCTTAAGTATAGTGCGTATTGTTCTCTCGAGAGGTGGCGAATGGCCTTCTCCTGGGGTCGCTGGTGGCGAGATTCAGCGCGTCGCTTACTGTCGGCTAGTAGGTCTCTTCTCAGCGCAGGTATCTCACCACTAGCGGCAACGTCCAGCAGGGCTTGGTGGATACTGGTCTCGACTAGTCTTCCGGCATGTGTGGTAGTGTAGTGCATATTAGTGTGTGTCTAAGGGTGAAATAGAGAGAAGAGATGAGGAAGGTAAGATTGGCGTCGGTTCGTCCCGTTTGCTAGGGTACTACACTAGCATTGCACTGCCGGATGTTGATTAGATGAAACCAAGGAAAAAGTATCGATCAGATCAGCCGCTAAAATTCTCGCTCAAAGAGAAGCACTGAATTCAACCTAACTCACAAGCTAGCGCTCGAATATCTTCCCACTGTCAAGATACCTTGCAGCTCGTCGGCAGAAGCACTGCAGTGACATCAAGCTGATTCACTGCTCAGTGTTATTCAACGTATTGTGACTCTACGGAAGGGCGAAATGATGCCTCAAAATGGATATTGGGAGAGATGTGATGGAGTGAATGTGACTGAAAATCGGAGAAAGAGTTTAAGGTTAGGATTTTTGCAAAATGACCTATAGAGGCAGGAAAACGTTGAGGAAAGTTTACGGAAATTAAAATTAAGGGACAGTTGTGAAGTGATAGAAAGAGTGTTAGCCACAAGAGGTTGAGAGGGGACAACTGTTGAGAGGTCACCAGGTGGTAAATGAGCAGTGGGAAGCGAGCGGTCGTAAGCCTATAGCGAAGCGAGTGAGCTGCGACAGCGGTGAACGGGTAAAGCGGGTTGCCCGTCTTAGGCAAGCAGAGAAGACGAGCACCAATGCGAGATTGATTCACTAAGAGAGAATGTCAGTGTGAAGATGTGAGTGTGAGAGGATGTTTGAGTGTGAAAGGATGTTGAGTGTGAAGGAGTTGAGTGTAGAAGGAGGTTCTGAGTGTGAAGGATGGAGTGGTTGGAAGAGGGAGTTGATGTGAAGGAGGTTAGTGTGGGAGTATGAGTGAAGGAGGGTGAGTGTGAAGGTGTGAGTGTGAAGAGGTTGGAGTGTGAAGGATGTTTGAGTGTGAAGGATGAGGTTTGAGTGTGAAGGATATGAGTGTGAAGGATGTTGAGTGTTTGAAGGAGTTTGAGTGTGAGATGTGAGGTTTAGTGTGAGGAGGTTGAGTGTGGAAGGAGGTTGAAGTGGATGAAGGAGTTGAGTGTGAAGGAGGTTGAAGTGTGAAGCAGGTTGAGTTGTGGAGGGGTTGAGTGTGAAGGAGGTTGAAGAGGGTTAGTGTGAAGGAGTTAGAGTGTGAAGGAAGGTATGAGTGTGAGCAGGTTGAGTGTTAGGAGGATGAGTTGAAGGAGTTGAGTGTGAAGGAGTGTGAGTGTGAAGGAGGTTGAGTGTGAAGGGAGGGTGAGTGTGAGGGAGTGTGAGATTAGGAGAGTGAGTGTAAGGAGGTTGAGTGTGAAAGGAGATGTGAGTGGTGACAGGTGTGTTTTAGTGTGAAGGAGGCTTGAGTGTTGAAGGAGGTTGAGTGTAGAGGAGGTGAGTGTGAAAGGAAGTTGAGAGTGAGAGGAGATGTAGGAAGGTTGAGTGAAGGAGGTTGACGTGCTGAAGAGGTTGAGTGTGAAGGAGGTTGAGTGTGAAGGAGTTGAGTGTGTGAAGGAGGATTGAGTGTGAAGGAGGTATGAGTGTTGGAAGTAGTGAGAGTGTGAAGGAGGTTGAGTGTGAAGGAGGTTGAGGTGTGGAAGAAAAGAGGATGAGTGTGAGCAGTTGATGTAGGGAGTTGAGTGTGAAGCGGGTTGAAGGGAGGAGGTTTGAGAGGTGGTGAAGAGGATGAGTGTAAGGAGAGAGTCTGAAGTGAGAGGTGAGTGTGAAGGAGGATGAGTGTGAAGGGAGGTTGATGTGAGGAGAATGAGTGTGAAGAGAGGGTTGTGTGAGGGGTTGAGATTGAGGAACACGTTAGTGTGGAGACGTTAAATGTGTTGCAAGGTTGAGTGTGAAGAAGGTGAGTGGAGAGCAGGTTCAGCTTGAAGAACGGTCAATGTAAGAGCTTGACTGTAGGGGAGGTTGAAGCGAGGCGCATGATCATTATACCATGCTGGGAGCGTGCGCCAGCGCGTGACGGGATGAAAGCCGCGTTGTGAAGCACGAAGCCGCGCTGGCCCTGTCTCAGCACCAGCAGAAGAGAGCGCCGTGCACTGGCGTTCCCGTTGTACCAGGCGCTGGCGTACGCCGCTTCGCCCACGCCGCTCGCCTGCAACACACGCGCACACATTTAACACGATCTGTGAGAACCCTACAAATGCAATTACATAAGGCGTATAACTCTGCTCAAAAAAAGGAAAAATAACAATATACGGAGCGTTCTATTTAAAACTGGTTTTGGGAATATCTCGAAATGTGTGCATCAAATCAAGAAACGTAAGTAATGAAAGTTACCGGAAGAACGAGATCTGCTCAGTGTTACCAAAGTCGACCTCCACCAATTCTCCCATCGGTCTCGTGAGGGAAAATAAATAAGTTAATTGAGAAACTTCGTTTACTCTTGTAGATTTAGATTCTTAGAGGAAAACGTACTTTTTGTTTTCAACTTTTTCTGTTTCGTGAGAGGTGGCGCTGTAATTGACAAAAATTAAAATTAGCTAAAATCGTTAGCAATAAATAACGATTTTGTATTGGCAATCACACATCAAATAGAAAAAATTAAAAAATTCGTGTTTAGTAATTTGCAAAAAGCTATTCAATAATACCAAATAATTCAAATGACGCAGCATAGCTGTCAAAAATTTTAGAAAATTTACTCTAGCGTGACTCAAAAACCAAAGTAACAATATCAATTCCTTTTAAAGTTGTCAACATTTGAGGTTTGTTATGAAATAATGTTGCTAGTTCGAATCTGATAGTAAAATGACAACTGACCATGCTGTAGCGGTTTTCATAATACTCTATAGTTCCTGAAACAATCAGAGTATCGCTGCCATCCATCCTGATGAGAGAAAGAGAGAGAGAGAGAGAGAGAGAGAGAGAGAGAGAGAGAGAGTGGAGTTGCTCTATAGGAGAAGAGACACTGCGACGTTTAGTATTATTGAGAAATTTCTTGTCAATTATTGAACATCTCCTTTTTATTTTTTCTAAATGAATTGTATTTGTTAAAACCTCATTTTTTAACGTTTTTTGCTTATTTGGATTTTTGTCGATTCCAGCGTCATCATGGAACGGAAAAAAATTAAATACAAAAGTTAGGTATTTTTTCGCCAAATACAACCCTGCAATATTCGTAAAATTGGGGGTTCACATAATAAATTGGGGGTTTAACTTTTTCATTTTCCCCACCCACACTCGGAGGTAGTAGTGGGTGTCAATTTTGGTATCATTGGATGAGATCCGTCAATACAAACGTTTTATTACACACTTTTCTTGATGTGATGTGTACTCTTTGAGGTATTTCCAAAGCCAAATTCAACTGTATTATTTTAAAGCACATCTTTTGTATAAACAAATGACTATAAAATTATTTGAATCTAGTTTTTAAGAAAGTTATGATTTAGATTAAAATATCATAAAATAGAATATCACGAATATCCATTGTATACTTACTTTTTCCGATAGCATCTCTCCGAACCAACAATACACAATCATCTGCAATACTTGAACGCTTAAGAGGAATGCCGTGGAGAAGAAATCTAGTCCATTCATTTCAGTCTATAATAAAAGAAAATGTTTACTTATAAAATATAATTATCAACGAATTCTGTAGCATTTATCAAATCCATTGTTCAAGGATTCAAATGGATGATGCTTTTGGTGAAAATACCATCAAACATTGCTTCTAATGTTAAATTCCGTATCATTTGGTACAGAAGTTGCAAATTAAAAAATATGAAATCGATTGTTGATCATTCCGTCAACTGGTACGGTCATTAGTGCCGTGAGTGTCGTGATTGTTTTCTCTAGACCTAGCAGTGTTTCTCCCGCCGGCTGAAGGGATCAAATGCTGTTTGCACATCGAGTGAAGTCGTAGGCTTCCGCGGCCGGAGTCATGTGAATGATCCTGGCTGTCCGGGTGACGCCGCATCGAAGGCTGTGTTGCCGACGTTTCGACCATCTTGTCGTAGTCTTCCTCAGGGCTGATATGCAAGTCCGCAGTCTGCGAGAGACTGGTCTGCAAACCAGGCCTGAGGAAGATCACGATAAGATGGTCGAAACATCGGCAACACAGCCTTCGACACGGTGTCACCCGGACAGCCAAGTTCATTCACATGACTACACGTCGGCTTTTTAGGTTTTTTACAACCAGGTATCTCGCGCCTTCGGGGCGTCTCCCTAGCTGGGACAAGCTCTAAGCTTTAAACTGGTCTCCCGGCATGTGTGGGAGAACAGTGCAAGTAAGAGTGAAAGCAAGGGGTGAGGATAGGCCAAATAAGGGCAAGGAAAAATCTCGCGCGCTCTGTGGCCCGTTTGTTAGGGTTCTGCTCCAGAATGTGACTCGACCAGGGTTAATCTGAGAAACAGCGGAAAAGTACCGATCAGAGAAGTCGGCCTCTGGACCTCTCCTCCGGATAGAGACTGAACTCGACCTAGTTGACAAACTAGTGCTGAAAATCCTGCCTTTGTCGGGACTCGAACTTAGAACCTCACGATCACAGGCACTGCAGCAACATCAGTCAATGCCCTGACCCTCCTTTTCCGGTTATGAACTCGAAGTAAATAATAGCATTCGCGTGTAGTGGGAGCTGGCGATCAAATTATTCTAACTTAGTACATTAAATTTTAATAAAGTTATTGTTTTGTCAATATATTTTTAATATTTATTTTTTAGAAAAGAACAACAACAAGTGACGTTTCTAGAAAAGCAAAAAGTCTTCGTCGAATTTTTTTTAATTGGAATCTACATTATCTGTAATATTGAATACTGATTTTTCTAATCATTTTGTATGTTTTGTTTTGTATTAGAGTTCTAATGGCCGAACTCGGGTTCATTTAACTCATTTGTCAAGTAAGTACATAATTATTTATAATATTACAGTAGAACGTCGATTATTAGTACACCCAATAGCAGTGCCGTCAATTATCGAGTATGTTGAAAATCGAACAAGAGTATTTGAAAACTTAGGTATGTATTTTATAATTTTACACAATAAAAACTTGGCTGCTTCTCGACTAAAGAAAGTGAATACATTAATTTTACTTATTTATATGTTGATTATTTTAAAATAAATAAGAACTTATTTTCATATCTTTTAATTATCATTAACTGTTTTGTAAAGCAGATTCTAAAATTTAGTTCTTTGAATTTGTAAGGTGTCTATGTGTGAGTACATTGTTTCCAGTTTTCCTGTAAACAATTTTCTTGGACGTTTTCACATCTGTTTACTCACTTTGTTTGTTATTTGTTTTTCAAGTCTTATTTTGCCTACTTCCAATTTTACTCTGTACCTCGATGCCTCGACTTTCTCGATCATCCCGATATGTTCAGAACCTTGACTAGAGCTATATTGATTATTCCGCATAATCGATGCTCTACTGTACCTTAATTTACTTCTTTTAATATGAGGATTAATTCTAAGAATCTTAAAAGAATAAGTCGATTACTAATCATACATATGTTTCACACTTTCGTTCGTTTTTTGTCTCTGTGCTGCTTACGCATTTTTATTCAGGAGAAAATTGATAAATATTCATTATGATTGTTTTTGTGTCTTTGTATTCCAATGTTTTAAAATATCCTACTTTTTGTCATATGTCACAATACTAATTACATATTAATCACTTCCAATTACAGAATTTTGAGCAAGCAATATCCGCAAATTTTATAACGTATTTTAAGAAGCAGTAGACGAACATATTACCGATCGAACATCGTGGTAGCTTTTTGGGGACTGGCGGAAAGCGATTTAGCAATAAGTAAACCCCTCGCCACAAGAGGGAGAGAAAGGCTTTCTGTAAAACGTGCGCGTGGCAAAGGGAGACACAAGGCGCTCTGGGGTTCTCTGAAGTAAGGGAACGGAAACCAAAACATAGGAACCGCGTGCAAGCATAAGCGAGCTGCGGAGGCGGCGTGACGTAGTATGTCACGTGAGGGACAGCTATATAAGGAAGGTACAGAGCCAGTGTGTGTGTTCTGGAGAAAGTGTGAGAACCTTGTGCTAATGCACAAAACTTTCACCAGAGCGGTGCAGCGGCGGGCAGGACTCGCGAGGCAAGACTCGTGTGGACGCGCCTTTGGGGACTTTGCGTTCCATGAATGACAGCGGTCTCGTGGGACTGATGCTACGTGCGTGCTTCGAGGTTAGGAGTGGTTAAGATCCACGACTCACACCGATGATCAATCGTTTAATATCTTTCAAGTGATCAATGCAAGTCATTGATTGATGCGCCGGCAAGAACTTTGTGTCCGAGTGTTACCTTCAGTCGGCTTGGCTTTGTGCGCGCTTCTCATTCAGGAGTGGCGAGTGCCACGAATTAAACCGATCAATTAAATTTGGATCGCTCCCACTTTCAGGGGATAGTAGGTCTATCAGAGCTAGTGAGTAAAGTGGTGATAATTCAACTGCACATATTTGTGTTACTTGTAAATAAATAACTGTATATATGAAAGCTGGTGTCTGTGTTAGCTGTGAGTACCCATGACGACACATATAACATGTGATACATATTTCACTAATGTTTCATATTATGTTATTTTACTTTATTTTAAATGGGAACTTAACATTTAAAATATCATATATGTGATTAACCCCAGAAAAAATGTGTATTCCTTTTTAGACAAGAGCAAGTATTGCGAATAATCAAGCTCATTTGATTGATTCCTGGTAGTTAACAAAATTGTTATAATTAATTCTATTGAATCACTCCCTAATTAACATTATCAAAAGTGAAAGCAAAATGTTATTGATATACCAAATGATAACGTACGTAAGTTTGTTAGAAATTTTGACATAGCGTGTCACAAATTATTTTATATTATATACCAAAACATTTATGTTACTGATTCATTCACAAATATCTGTAAAACAAATATTTGAATATAAAGATTTATTAAAACATTCTGAGATTTTCATTTGTGAAAATTTGAAAACTCTTTGTTCGGTTAATTTTAAATTCACAATTATGTGTGCTATTAAATTACTCAATTTATTTCAAGGCATTGCTAAGATATTTTAGGACACAATTTTATTGGAGTGAGATCCAATTTGACCTTCACGTACATTATTTTCGTACATGCAACATTTTATTTATTATTATCTATGATTATTATTATTTTCATAGTTAAAATCCTCTCTTATTCATGTAATATAGTATTGACGTACTGTCATCACAATGTATGATGTGCAGCATATGTTGATAGCTGCTGCAACGAAAAGGAGAAAGAACACAGGATTGTAGAAATCCTTTACCATTGATAGAATCCTGCAACAAAAATTGTCGTCATTAATTCAAGTATAGAAAAGGTACCATTTCTATCGAATAACATTACACTGTTCTTGAACAGTTATTTACTTCATGGTCATTTGAATAACACATCGCGAATTTCGAAGTTATAGTGGGAGATAAGAAAAACACTTCTACATACATCCGAGTGTTTTTTCAACAAGATGCCCCTGGGTCAGTGTTTATAAATGATAAAAATTTAAAGCACTAATCATGTTATAAAACAGCACACACTTCGTTTGAGGCAGATGTGACATTATTGAAGAAATACTAAGTTTCTGAAATATTCCAATCCCCATTATCATCTTAGAATGTTAGAACAAAATTGCAATTGTGAGGCTGTCTGACATTAGGTCAAAACCTTAATACATTGAATAATAATTCTAAACTATTCATTCAACATCTGAATATAACTAATATTTGTAGAAGTTAATTTTAAATATATGAAAAGTGGGACTCGTATGAGACCCTTTGTGGAGTGTCCTTACCGCAGCAGCTCCTGGTGCCTACGAGCGACCTCTGCCACCTCCTGCGCCATGCGACCGCTCGGCTGGCCCTCTGCTCTCTCCTGCAGCCACTCGCCCCCCTCCCCCTCCTCCTCGCCGTCGGCGCCGACGCGCAGCAGCCGCTTAGACAGCTCGTCCAGCTGCGCGCACAGCGTCAGCACCAGCTTCACGAACGTGGCGGAGAAGGCTGCCATGTTGAAGCCCCAAAAGGCACCCGTCGCGTTCACCAAGATGAGAACGATCAGGTTTGGGGTACCTGCGAGCCGATTGTATATTTCTTTTGGTGTCTGACGATTGCACAGACTCAAGATTGAACTACACAGATGCGATCAAAGCCCACACCTTCTACGACGCTTCTTTAAAAATACGCAACATGCGCACGATAACAAATCTCACCGGAAACAACGTCGCGAGTGAATTATTCAATTACCGACATGCATTCGGCGCGAAACGTCTTGAGATTGCCACGCGATTTCCGTCGACGCTCACCGAAGACGGGCTGGCCGCGAGTATTCATCACGGTGCGTCCTGCATCTACTGTCTTCCGGGAAACGAGAGCCATCGCCCGTGGGTCTCGACAGACCCGCTCACCAGAGCTCCGCCGCAGCAGCGCCATAAGAAAGTTTACAATTAAATTTGCATATCGAAGGCGTGCACGTTAGCCAAACAGGGCCCTCTTTTACGTGACAAGTCAGGCCAGTGTTAAGCCACAGTGGCTCAGTGAAGAGCCATCAAACGACGTGGAGACGTGCAAGCAAGTGCCACGATGACGCCAAACGGCGCACTATCAGAATCTGAGAGACGCAGCATTATAAGCCTCTAGAAAAGGGTTTGTTGTACCTTGGCATTGATACCGTGTCTCGAACGGGGCGCGCTGCTATGACAGGGAAGCGTGTTTGGACCCAGTGGATAGAGGAGGGTCGTACACAGCGGCGAGCGGTAACGAGACCACTCAATGTGACCACAGCGCTAGATGACACCCAACTTGTCCGCATGGCCTAACCGATAGAACGGCGTCGTCCGCAGTGTTGGGTCGACTTAGGACGGGTGTGGTCCTGTCTGCATCGATAGCTCGACGCCGTCTGTTGAGGGCTGGACGGGGGCACGAATAACCCTGCGTCGGAATCCTTTGGCCAGAAACCAACAACGCCTCAATGACCAACGACACCAACAAGAATGACAACATATAGTGTCTTAAGACGATGTCCGTTTCAATTTGTGGTACAGCGAGGGCCATGTACGTGTGTGACGCTACCGTGGCGATAGCAATCTGTCATCCTGCATTGTTTCGCGCCATTGCAGAGAAACGCCATGTGTGAGGGTTTGGAGCGCCGTGGCTGCAATGTGCGATCTCGCCTAATGCGTATTGGCACAATCTGAACAGCAACCCCTACATTAGAGAGGTTTTCGGCGGTGGTTGTCAGACCCAAAGAGTTGACAATTTGTTCTCTATGTACGTCGACTTGCTAAATTCGAATCGCAAGCCAGACTTCCGCCATCACTCTCCAGTTCTTTTAATTGCAAAAATCGACCGTAAAATTGTTAGGGCGAAATGTAGGGGGATGGCTTATTTCTGGCTTGAGATTCGGATTCAGTAGTGATGGTCGTGAGCGTGTGCGTCCGGAGTGTGTTCGTCCACGTCACGTAGGGCCCAACCCGAGAGTGATGGTGTGGGGTGCCATCGCTATATCGCGCGTTCACCTTTGGTGCTCGTGGAGGGATCATTAACCAGCGCTGGATTCATCCAAGCACGTTGTTCGGCCTGTAATGATATCATTCTTGCAACGGGAGGGTGGTGCGCTGTTCTAGCAACACAATGCCCGCTTTCAGACTGCCTACAAAACTCTCTCCACGACGTTCGACAACTGCCCTGGCCGGCACGCTCGCCGGATTTGTCCCAGATCAAACTTGTGTGGGACATGATTGGCCAACGCCTGGCTCGTGCTGCGACTCCTCCAACAACGTTGTTTGATCTTCGAAAGACGGTGCAAGGGGCGTGGAACAATGTACCATAGGCCACTATTCGCCATCTATACGATGCTTCCGGTCTATGATTATCTCTGTTGCTGGACGTGCGAGTCTCCAATGGCTCTGCCCATGTGATCATGTGTAGTATTCTCTCTGTATGTGCTGTATCTGTACGGGGTCATAAATTATACAATGCGATTGGGTTTTGCAATACTTTTATACTACATATATATATATATATATATATA